GTTCATCACAGCGGCCCCGAGAGAAGGTGAATACCACCACAGGCAGCTGGGCCCGGGTGCGCAATGAGGCCAGGAGGGACAGGTACACTCCGCGGTCCTGGGGAGCAAGGGGAAAGGGGCAAAGATTGAGTCCTTGAACCAGTGAGAGCTGAAGTGAAGGAGGTGAAGTGGTGGCCAATCAGTCAGAGCTAAGACTTCAAGCCCAAATCGCTGGGGGAATCAGGAAAGAAAAGTTGGTAAAGAAACAGGTGTTGGCACATAGAGAATCCTTCCAGCTCTCACCTGTGCAGGGCCCCCCTGGTGTGTGGGCTGCTTGGCCCCAAAGGTCTGGGCATGTTTGCTCATTCTCTCTTTCTTGGCCTCTACAGCTGCATAATACCTGGGACACAGGGAGGGGTGGCATCAGGCCAGGCTGGGGCCAAGCTCTAACTCCCCCAATCCTGGGCTTACCCCTTGGTGTGGAAGGCCCCTCGGGAGTCCAGCAGCAGGAAGAGCTCTCCCTGAGTCTTGGGACTGTTCCCTGTAAAGAGATAGTGCTCCAGAGGGACAGGTCGGGCAACCGTGCTGATCACATAGATCTGACGACGCTTCAGCCGCCTAAAGGAAGGAGACAGAGTGGGTGTGTGGGAAGGAGTCCCCATCTCCACCACTTTCCCCACCCCCTCTAACTTCACCCAATCTCTTCTGAGACCCACAACAGAAGGCTATTCCCCATCAAACCATCTAAAACATACAAAATGTTCTGGACCCAAGGCACCCTATAGCCATCCAGGTGGGGCATGTTGGCCTGACCTCTCCTTGCTGTAGTGGCCTTAATCCTCCTTCCCCAACCCAGGAATACTACAGCCTCCTTCACCCAAACACCTCAGGATTTATGTCTCACCCAATCCAGTCAGCAAACTCCAGGGCATTAGGGACGGTAGCACTCAGAAGGATGATGGAGACATGGTCAGGGAGCATGATGAGCACCTCCTCCCACACGACCCCACGCTGGGCACAGACAGAGGAGACAGGTCATGGGAAGCAGAGAGGATGCCATGCTGCCCCAGAGTTCCATTTGGGAGCAAAGAAGGGAATAAGGTCCTCAGGGTGTGTAGAACAGGAGCTGCTCAACTAGTCTCATGGGAGACTACCTACCCCCTTACCTCAGCATCATTGATATAGTGAACCTCATCAAAGATGACCCACTCCAGGTCTCGGATGACATCTGATCCACTGTATAGCATGGAGCTGGGGAGAAGAGGTCAAGGGCTGACTCCTCAGTGGCTCTCGTCTCTACCCTGTCTCAGCTGGTACACTGAGAATAGCCTCACCTGCCCACCCCAAACCCACCTGTGAGGGCCCCTCTCACCGAAGGATCTCTGTTGTCATAATGAGGCAAGAGGCCTCTGGGTGCAGCTGCACATCTCCAGTGAGCAGCCCCACATCCCCAAATGTGTTTCGGAAGTCCCGGAACTTCTGGTTGCTCAGAGCCTTGATAGGTGAAGTATATATGGTTCTAGGAAGAGCACATGAAGTCAGCCAGTCCCTCCATACAGACTGGTGGCCAGTACCCTGTCTCCACCTCTGAGCCCTCCTAGATCCAAACCCCAGAAGTGCTTCCCTTTTTTTACCCAAATGTTCCTCACCTACTCCTTCAAAATATGATCCCAGAAAACTACTGCCTCCTACCCCTTCCTAAACTAATCCAGGTTACTTTTCTATCCTTTCTCCCCACCAAATCTTTTAATTTCTCTCTAGACCCCATCTCAGTCTCACTCCTGAGAGATGAGAGAAGAGATGAGGTCCAGAAAGGATACAAGAGAAAACAGGGCTAGCTGGTACAGGAGGAGGCTGGGGAGGGCACTTATACCGTGTCATGTGTTTCTGGGCCAGTGCAATGGCATATTCAGCCACAACTGTCTTCCCCGCAGATGTGTGAGCTGCGACAAAGACAGAGTCATGCTGTTCCAAGTGCAGGATGGCCTGTTTCTGAAACACATCTGGCTCAAATGCCCACTGTGGGAGAGAGAGATCAATGGGGGCTGAAAAAGGGAGAGGGCCTTCCTGCCTTCTGCTCATGGACCTACAGGGCAAAGGGAAGAAGGCTGTAACGAGGCAGGGCTGGGACTGAGGACCAAGACTGGCCTGGCGTGTCTGGCCTTTGGCAGAAAGAGGAGACAAGGGGTAAGTTAGGAGGCAGGGACAGAGTTTTTTTTTTTTTTTTTTCTTTTATTATTCATATGTGCATACAAGGCTTGGGTCATTTCACCCCCCTGCCCCCACCCCTTCCCTTACCACCCACTCCGCCCCCTCCCTCTCCCCCCCACCCCCAGGGACAGAGTTTGGACCACCAAGAGGTAGAGGAGTGTGTAAGGACTGAGCCACAGTACCTGGAAGGCTGGCTGGGGAATGAGTCGGTAGAAATCACCAACAGGGGAGGTAACATCCACTGGAACAGCCCACTGCTCCTGAGGTGGAGGTTTGGGAGGCTCCAAGGGGGTTACAACTGTGGATGCTTCCTGGAAAAATCAGGGTGATAAAGGTATAGCCAGAGAGCTCTCTATTACTACTCCTCCCCAAAATACTCTATTCCTCCCCTCACATCAACCCAGCCACCCACCCTCCCTGTGGCAGAGGCCCTTCTTGCAGGCCTCCACCACTGGGAACCACCAACCTTCAACACTAGGTCCTCCAAGCTACTTGCTCGAGCCAGAGGACCACTACAGGGAGAGGCTGAAACAGTGTCCCCTTGGGGACCTCCTGGCTGTTTCACTGTCTCACTCTCATCCTCATCACCCCCACCCAAATCTAAAGGCTCCAGCAGACGGCTGAGGCTGAGAAGCCCAGGAGCTGGAGCGTGGTGATCTGAAAAGCAAGGCAAATAGGGACACTTTGTCATGTCCATCTGTGTCTGAAGGCAAAGGACACTTCGATAAAATTGTATCAAACTCACCCTTGGGGGCAAAGTCCACACCTTTCTTGAAGCCAGGTGGGACAGTGAGAAGATCTAGAGGGGAGAGAAAGAGAGAGGCAATTAGGGCCACTGCATGCTATCGTATATGTTATACATACAACATATACGACTGACATCCACAGTATAGACATTATGAATGGGCATATTTGCTGTGACCATTTTCTAAACAGAGAGCAGTAAAGAGTTTTATGGAAAAGACACCTTTTTCCATTTTGGAGGGGCAGGGAGTACCTTTTCCTAATTTGCAAAAGCATGGAAGAATGAGGAGTAGCCCAGTGATATGGCTCCTCCTCAGGGGCCATATCCAGAGCCCACCTCACCTTTTTCAAAGTCTATATCTTCCTCTGCCTCCTCTTGAGTGCTCAGATCTGTTATGGTGGGCTCATCCATCCCACCTAGAAAGAGTATGAACAAGTAGGAATTCATGAAATGAGAGCAGCAAGGGTAAATGGGGAACTCTTCCCTGGAGACTAAGGGCCCCCTGTCCTTCTATCCTGTCACCACAAGTCACCTGGCCAGAAAGGGTACTGTGTTGGATTCCCCCATAGTGATTGGGAGACTGGCCCTGGAGGCCGGCGAAGAGACAAAGAGGTTGTGGCTGACAAGTTTGTGTTCTCCAGCAGTACCTGAAGCAAGAGATGAGAGCACCAGTGATGTTGAGCTTGCCTCAGATCTCCTTCTCCCAACTTTGCTTCTCTCAGCCCTTGATTTCTTACCTCCTTGTAGCCCAGTATCTGTCCTGTGGTTGGGTGTCTTTGGGCTTGAAGATCAGATGGTACTGGAGCCCCCAAGGCAGCCAGGAGAGACCAGGGATCTGTCTTTCTCTGCCATTTTCTGGACAGAAGTAACTTTTGAGTCTTCTTTCTCCCCATCCCAGCTTCCTTCAGCTGGCACATCCCTTTAGTCTGAACCTCTCTGTACTCACCGAGCTGAGTGCTCCACACCATGAAGAGGAAGCCAGGCTGGAGATGAGAGAAACAACTTCTCTGCTTCTTGCTGTAGATCTGGAGCACAGGGAGGGAGGCCATGGGGAAGCTGGGACAAGAGCAAGATGAGAGGCATTAAGTTAAGAAAGAGGATAAATTACAGAATTTTGTGTTGAGAACAGAAATGGTAACTGTTCAAAAACAGACAAATTGGGACAATCAGGCTGAAGCACTGTTTTCCATTGGTTGTCTAAAAACTAACAAAAATTGAATCACTTGGGGCATTAGTTAATAGTGCAGATTCTGAATTTCACACTAAGAGGGCAGACTGGGGAATTTGCATTTTTTAAAAGCCTCCTCTAATCATGAAGCACACTTAAAGATGAGAATCACTAGTTTTAAAAAGGGATCTCAGACATAAGGCTGACAAAGGCTGTAGGCTCAAAAGCTAGCATCTCAGCCAGCAAGTACCCTGGTGCTTGGAGAGGAAGGACATTTCAAAGAGCAGCTCTGGTAGCTAAGGTATTTCCTGTACTCCCTGGTTCTGTCCTCCTGTGGGCTCTGACCCACTACAGCTGAACTAGGCTGGGATCTGGCCAGCATCCGTCCAGGCCTAGATGACAGTGTCCAGCACAGGAGAGCGAGGTCATACTAGATCTTACTGTGAGGATAGTGGTGTTCGTTTTAGGCTCAATGAGGGTCAAAGGTGAGGATCAAAAGTCACTCACGGTGCTCTCTGGAGCCCCAGGTACGTTCACCAGCTCCCAACGCCCTGTACATCCCAGTTCCACGGCTCGAAGTGGCAGGTTGAGGGGATCTGCGGGAGGCAACACTACGGGGAAAAGGTCATAGGTCAGGTGTCAAGAGTCATTCTCTGTCTACAACTCCGTTCCACACCCCTCCCCCTCACCGAGTCGCTCGGTCTCCATCATCCTGAAGCCACGGCAGCTGCCCAGCAGCCCGGAAGTGCAGTGAGTAACCGTGGAGTAAGCCCCGCCCCGAAGTGGGCGGAAGTGGAGCGGACTTCCTGCACACCCCCCACTGGGAGAGGGGGCGAGTGCTGCAAAGTGGCAGATAAGGACGGGTAGAAGGCCGGGCGGAAGTCCCGCGCCGTGGCAGCCTTAGTTACCGCGTTCTCCGCCCCTCTTACGGCATCGCTCTGAGCCAGCTCACTGCCGCTGGCGCGGGCGCCTCCCGACACTGTGGGGCCCCGGTTGCCGCCCCCTCAGGTAAGGTCTTGCTTTCCTCACTCTTCGCCCCTTTTTTCTGAGTCCCTTCTTTCTTCTTACCCCTTTCGTTATTGAGAGAGCCCTGCGTGGGTTCAGCTGCCTTCTCTGCCGTCCAGACCCCACAGTTGGCCATACTAACCCCAGTGGGAATAGAGGGGTCGGGTACCATCGTATTGGCGACGGAGGGGATGGTTTTCCCTTCCCGGGCCATGTGATTCCCCAAGGCTCTGGTATCTGTGAACCTTGGAGACAGGAGGGAATGCTTGTTGATTACGTCGAGCGGGAGCTTGGACAGCAGCCTGGTTTAAACAAGGGGTAGGAAAAGGCCAAAGGTAGGAAGGAGTGAGCAGGCCTGGTGGGGTGCGGTGGGACACAGGGTGGACGGGGTGTAAACTCTGGGTGGTGACAGTGGAGAAACATGTCTTGGGCTCTTCCCTTGAACCAGGAGCCACCATGTTGGTGATACCCCCCGGACTGAGCGAGGAGGAGGAGGCTCTGCAGAAGAAATTCAACAAACTCAAGAAAAAGGTGAGGGAGTTGGTTGGGGGGGCGGTGCATGGCGCAACCTTTCACAGATTCTTCACTCTAAGAACACCTGGGATGAGTGTGAAGGGACAAGGGTTTCTTTGGGTGCATACCTGGAGAGGTATCATCTGTGTAGTTTCAAGAGGTGGTGGTTCTCGAGTCTTGATGTAGACCTCTTTTCTGTGCAGTCCTTCATGGAATTGTCATCCCCTCCTGTGACTTTTCGTATCACCTAAGAATTGAAGATCCCCAAGTTTGGATTTCCTAGTTATATCCAGTGCCTTGCTAAAACCCTGAGATACGCAAATTGAAGCCATCATCTTCCTATCTAATCTAGTCCCTTTTCTTGATCTTTCAAACAGGATTGACTACATTCAATTCTGTTATATGATTGATCTCAAAATCTCATCTCTGACTTCTGTATTATTTGCATAATCAAATTCTATCAAGTTTTTTTTTTTTTTTTTCTTGAGACACCATCTTGCTGGTCTTGAACTCCTGGGCTCAAGCTATCTTCCTGTCTCAGATTCCCCAGACAGGGATTACAGATGTGTACCACCTCACCCAGCATGACAAGTCTTCTTGATGCTTCTTTCTAAGTAGTTTCTCCAACTTTTTTGTTTCTGTGAATCCCTCAGAACAGGGACCTATGCTGTTGTAATGGTCTCTCAAGTAAGTTTCTTTGTCTTTCTTTGGACAGACTTCTTCACTCCTGTTAAAAATGATCCGAGAACACTAAACTCTCTTTTTCAAAACCCTTAAGAGGTTTCACATTATGTATAGAACAAAGCCCTAAAATCTTAGCTCAACATCCCTGTCTAATCAATCAGAGCTATTTACTGCTCCTAAAAATATGTATTCCCAAAACCATTTCTCTGCAGATAAAACAGGTAAACGTTTTCTTTGTCTAAAATATCCTTCTCCTTTCTATTTGTGTTGGGCAGATTCTACCCAGGGCCCAGTTTAATAGCCAGTTAAGCATTGGAAAATCTTATTTGCATTTAGCTGTGAGTAATCTGCACCTCTTATAATCATTCTTGGCAACTCCGTATAGTCATTTCAAGCTTCTTGAGGGTAGGAACTATGTGTTTTACTTGTGTATCTCCCTGTTACAAAGTCATGTCTGGGCCTCATTAAATATGCATGGTATGGGTGAATGATGTTCCCAAGATGGGCATATAAGCTTATACTTACTTTCAGCTTATCCTGGGGCTTTGGTACATGATTTAGTTTGTTTCCTTCAACTTCAAAAATGTGAGACTCTGGTTTGATTAGATTAATAATTGCTGGCAGGGAGGATATAAGGAAAGGATATATGAGGGTGAATATGGTAGAAATACTGTGTAGTCATATATGAAAAAGGAAAAATGAGACCTGTTGAAATTATTCTAGGGAGGGGGAATTAAAAAAAATTGCTGACATTATAGATGTGTGAGACCAGATACAAGAGGCAGGACTGCCTCAGAGCCACTCCCGGGACACCATTTGCATTATTTCATACCAATAAGGTATCCTTGGAGTGATGCACCCAGGGGCCTTGGAAAAGACCTAGTCAGGGACTGGTCATCACTGACTCCTCTCTTTTCACCCTCATTCCCAGAAAAAGGCATTGCTAGCTTTGAAGAAACAAAGTAGCAACAACACAGCCAGCCAAGGTGGTGTCAAACGCTGTGAGTAATGGGAAATGGAGAGGGCCTGGAAGTAGGCAGCATGGAACTGACCTCTACCATAGTCAGCATAATATTTCTTTCCCTCACCACTCCAGCACTGTCAGAGCAGCCTGTGGTAGACACAGCCACAGCAACAGAACAGGCAAAGCAGCTAGTGAAGTCAGGAGCCATCAGTGCCATCAAGGCTGAAACCAAAAACTCGGGCTTCAAACGTTCTCGAACCCTAGAGGGGAAGTTAAAGGTGAGCACAAGCAGTATTGTTCAGAAGACCCTCGACTTCAGAGAGCATCCCTCAGTTGGGAGGTGGGTTTGGGGAAAAAATAATGCATGTTCAGACATGGACAAATTGCTGTACCACTCTGAACTTTTTTGTGTTTTTATTTTTGGTTTGTTTATTTTGGTGGGGGGGTTGACTTTAGTTTTTTTGAGTTTTGGGATGTTTTATTGTTTTGATACGGGGTCTCACTATGTTGCCTAGGCTGGTCTCCAACTTGTGAGCCCAGTAATCCTCTTACCTCAGCTTCAAGAGTAGCTGGGACTACAGGTATGCACCACCATGCCTGACTAAAGATTTAGGTTTCTTATTTAGAAAACAACAAATCTAAGTGACTCCTACCTTCTCCATTTTACACATTTTGTTTTTCTCATCCACTTTGGGTTAGAACTCTTGCAATGTGTTGCTCCAAGAGGTTAAATAGACTGAATGTGTCATCAGGCTTATGAGAGGCTTAGGCAAATGAAGTACTTTACATGTGCAATAGGTAATTTACCTAAGAAACAGTACATAATTGAATAGGATTGCAATAGGATTAAAAGAGGAAAAATACATCAGAAGAAGCCGAGAAGAGAGTGAGGGAAGATAGGCCCCTCCATCTCATGACTGGGCAGCCTCCTGGACCAACAGTGATCACTGACATAGGTCTCTACAACTTTTGCAGGACCCTGAGAAGGGGTCTGTCCCCACTTTCCAGCCATTCCAGAGGAGCATATCTGCTGATGATGACCTGCAGGAGGTAATGGTTACCAATTCTCCATCCCTGCAGAGCTGGGAATTGAGAAAGACGAGAGACCCACATATTTTGGACACATCACCTTAACTGTTCTTGGTCTCTTTTTCAGTCATCCAGACGTCCCCAGAGGAAATCTCTGTATGAGAGGTTAGAGAGATAAAACGGGGTCTCACTTGGTATCTGGTCAATTGCCTGAGTACTTGGGAGGTTTGGGACTGGAGTAGAAGGTGCTGGCTTCTACTCCAGTAGAAGAAGGACTGTGGAGTCGCCACAAGGTCTGGGAGGAAGAAATGAAGGCCTTCTTTGATCCTTACAGTCTGCTTCTCCCCAGCTTTGTATCCTCTAGCGATCGGCTTCGGGAACTGGGGCCAGATGGAGAAGAAGCAGAGGGCCCAGGAACTGGCGATGGGCCCCCTCGAAGCTTTGACTGGGGCTATGAAGAACGTGGTGGTGCCCGCTCCTCAGCCTCCCCTCCCAGAAGCCACAGCCGAGACCGCAGTCATGAAAGGAACCGGGACAGAGACCGAGACCGGGACAGAGACTGGGACAGAGACCGAGATCGGGAGCGGGACAGAGACCGGGAGCGGGAGCGGGACCGGGACCGGGATCGGGATCGGGATCGAGATAGGGACAGGGATCGAGACCGAGATAGAGATCGAGACCGAGACCGAGAAGGCCCTTTCCGCAGTGAGTGAGCTTGGCTGGTGGGGAAGGTGACTTCAGTTAGAATTTAGGTGGATCCTGCTAAAGTGGAGGGTGAGATAGACTGTCTTATGACTTTGACTTCTGACCCATAGGGTCAGACTCATTCCCTGAACGCCGGGCCCCTCGAAAGGGGAACACTCTCTATGTGTATGGAGAAGACATGACGCCCACCCTTCTCCGTGGGGCCTTCTCTCCCTTTGGAAACATCATTGACCTCTCCATGGACCCACCTAGAAAGTAAGGATGACAGTGGGGCTTGATAAGTTCTGGGCAAGCCCAGGATGTGAGGCCTAGGGGAGGAAGCTGCTCTATCTCTGGCAGCTTATTGAACCCAGCAGAGTCCATAGGCCCTCTGCTGACCCTGTTTTTTCTTCCCAGCTGTGCCTTCGTCACCTATGAAAAGATGGAGTCAGCAGATCAAGCTGTTGCTGAGGTTGGGACTTCCTAGACCTGTTCTTCGCATCCCTCCTGCCAGCCTTGTGTTCTCTTTAAAATACTTGAGGAAATTGGTTCCTCCTAAAGAGAAAGTCTCTTCTTAGTCACAGAAAAACTCATATTCTCAGATCCTGATTCAATCTACTCCTAGGATAACAGCCCTTGGAGTAACTCCTTTGTTTTACTTGTAATTCCCCACCCCCATCCTTTGTCCCCTCCTCTCTTCTGCTCCAGCTCAATGGGACCCAGGTGGAATCCGTGCAGCTCAAAGTGAACATAGCCCGCAAACAGCCCATGTTGGATGCTGCTACTGGCAAGTCTGTCTGGGGCTCCCTTGGTAAGAATGGCTTACCCATAAAAGACAGTGGGCTTCCCTTCTCATTCCCTTCCCCACAGCCCACCCTCTTTTATTCCCCTATACATCCCTGGGTTTCCTAGAGGTGACAGGTCAGAATTTGATGGAGGTTGTGGATAGAGAAGAGAATTGCTAGGCTCTCTGTCTGAGGTAGGGGAAAAAGGAGATAAGAGTATTGAAAACAACTCCTAAAGCAGTGACTGGAGCAGAGAAGAAAGTTGGATCCAGAATCAGGTTAGTGAGGAAAATGAGCATCTCATGCAGCTTGTTCATTCTGAGCTGAAGTATAGCAGGCTTTGCAAGAATTTGAAATTAAGGATCTGGAACTCAGGAATTAGACTCATCTGCATCATAGGGTGTCTACAAAGTGGTAGACTCATCAAGGAGGCTGATAATGAAAAAAAGGTGACCCTGGACTGCCTTGGGAATTTTTCAAGGAGTATTATAGGAACTCCTCATGCCCCACATGTTCCCATCAATACTGACACATTACACATTAGGTTAAAATTGAGACTGCAGCAAAGGAGATAGAAGGGTCCAAGGGATGGGAGCAGGCACCAGAGGCCTTGGGCCACTGAAGCAAAGGACATAGGCTTCAAGAAGGAGGGATGGTCAGCAGTGACAAGGTACAAAGACCAAAAAAATGGGAGTTGGAGGGAGGGATTCACTCCAGCCTCAACGGTGGAATCCTTGAATGGGATAAAGAGAGGGCCATGTCCTGTGGATGGAAGAAAAAAAATGGGGAAGAAGCAGTGAGGCTGGAGCAAGCACGCTGAGGTCCAAAGCTACACCCGGATGAGTTCTGGTGAGGCTAGTAACATTTCTCAGTGTGAATAATCCATTTTATCTGAAAGTAGATTGTCCTGGGAAAGGAGTGAGCAAAAAGGTTTCAGAGCAAAACACCAGAATTGACCAATATATCAACAAAGCTGCAGAGAGTTTCTAATCTTTAATTTTTGGTGTGCTGACCAAAAGCAGTGGGTTAACATTCACACGTTTCAGCTATGATAATATTAGGGGATTTTCAAAGAACAAAAACATTCATCACAATATCCATATGTGCTATATTAACAGTTTACACTCTCCGTGGTGTTTGGGTTAACCACCACAGGCTTGAGGGGGCTAAGTGGAGGCAGGCCATCCTGACCACCAGAGGGCAGCATGAAAACTGGGCTGCCAGGGCCAGGAGTGAGGTAGTGAGGCTGGGCCTCAGGTTTGATCCATGATCTACTTCAGACCTTAACTGTAGTTCTCCTTCCTCCCTAGCTGTCCAGAACAGCCCTAAGGGTTGCCACCGGGACAAGAGGACTCAGATTGTCTACAATGATGATGTCTATAAGGAAAACCTTGTAGATGGCTTCTAGGAAATGAAGCTGGATTTCTTGTGCCTCCTATGCCCCCAATGCTGGTCTCAGTAAAACACTGAGGTAGAAGCTCACACATCTTCCTTCAGCCTCTGGTTTTTCAGCACTTGGGATTGGAGTTAAGCCTTTAAAAATAACTATCAGATTTTATCTTAGTTTTAACAACATGGTCAGTGCACATCCTTTACCCCAAAAGGATCTGGAACACAGTTACTGTCGCAGCTTTTTTAATTTGATCTCAAGCCCCCTTTCAGCAGGAAACCCTTTATAAGAAACCCAAATCCTCATCTTTGAGTTTCTCCTTGAGCCAGGGCAGCACTTGGAAGAGGTTGATGTGAAAGTCCCGGGCATGAGCAGGTACCTGCCGTTGTTGTCTTTGGTCTTTGCAGACATCCACTACTCCCCAGCTGATCACACCAACCTGCAGAAGTGAGAGGGTGCCATGGATCATTTAGTGGAGTTTCTTCCTAGTGCCAAGAAGCATGGGTATTCCTGTTTGCATCTGTACTAACCTAAAGGAAGTAGACTTGGAACCCAGCTCCACCCTCTCCTCCTTGGCACACATAGGCCAGACACATGGCCCTAAACTGGCCAATTCATAGAATAACTAAGGTGAGGAAGGCTCTGCCTTCCTCCCATTACCAGCCACATACACTGAGCTTTCCTGCTTTGGGGTCCATGCTGGCCACTTGGTGTCTCCCCACAAATAGGGAAGAGAACACTCACTTGAATGAAGCGACTCCTCTTGTGAATGATCAGAGGGCCACCAGAGTCACCTGCAGGAGAAAAAAGTTTTGGGAAAAGACTGTTGGGCCTCAGGAACTTGTAGCATAGCCAAAAAAAAAAACCCTTATCTTACCTCTGCAAGTATTGGGGTCATCATAGGGATCCACCCCTCCAGTGCAGAGGAACCTGGGGGTAACCACTTCAGAGATGTCCTTGACTTTATCATAGCCTGGGGCATATTGAGCATCTCTCTCACAGCTGGCTTTCTGTAGGGGAGGGGGAAGCATGGGGGAGAAAGGTGATGAACAAAACTGGCATAGAAAGGGCAGGGGACTTCGAGAACCTTAGACTCCTCCATTCCTCACCTTGTCACCATTCTTGATATAGACCTCTTTCCGTGTCATCTTCTTCTCTTCCTCAGACACAAACAGAGCTTTGATGTCCTTTGCAGGGAGCAACTCTTCCTCTGAACAAGCGGAGAGACTGGGTCACTCCAACTGCCCCCCCCCACACACACACACATCCTCTCCTCATTGCCTCTGTCACTCAGCAGCTGTCCCTCTAGCCCTTCCTATGAGGTAGGCACTGAGTTAGGCATCATCTGTCCTACTGCAGCTCCCTCTCATGTCATTGTCCTATCCAGAATATGCCTTACTGTGTTTCTGACAAGTGGTTGTCTGAGGAAGTCGTAAAGCTCGAGTTGTTCCCTCTGTGCAGGGGAGGCAAATGGGCCTGTTTGGCAGATGAGGACAGTCAGAAGCAGCACACAGCCCTTTCCACGCCCCAGTACTCCAGCCCACTTTACCCAGTCATCTCAGGGACCTAGGTGCTCTCACCTAAGAGTCTGATCATACTTCAGTTTGCTCTTGAGCTTGACCAGTGCCACGTCATAGTCATAAAACTCAGGAATTCCTTCTGCCTTTTTCCTATTGATGTTGTAGTTGGGATGAAATAGGACTTCTTCTATCTCCAGGTCCCGCTTCTTTCCTCCTGAGGGTGGGGAGAAAAAGGATACACATTTCTGTGAGCTGCCTTTGTCCCTGTGACATCCTTGACTTCTGGTCTTCACTCTCCTTGACTGGTGAAGGGTGCAAGGGAAGGGCTGTACTGAGGATAGGCAGGGTGTGGGACGGTGAGGAAGGGGAGGCATTGCCAGGAGGTTGTGGCTAGAGCTCAGAATCCATGTGGGGTACATCCTTACCTACGCTGACCTTTATAGAGTGTTTCTGGTCCTCCACAGTGAAGCAGTGTGCCGCTGTCAGCACAAAGTACTCAGACACCACAGCTCCCATACAGTTCTCATGTCCCTTCTGAGGGCGCTGGGGGAGCAGAACAGTGAAGGGAGGAGGCTCAAGCTTCATTCACAAGCCAATTTAATGTGAACATTTTGTCCTCCCACTTCCCTCTGACCTCACCTCCTACAACTCCCCACAAGTTTTGCTTACAGTGACTGAGATCTTGGCCTGCCACGGTTGTTTGTGGTAATCGGTACCTTTCCTGTGCTCCCAAACCATGCCGCACAGACCCAGAGACTTGGTTTCATCTGGCAGAAAAGGAGAATGTGTTGAAAGTTGGGAACATTTTATTTCCAAATGGTAACAACCATATTTGGAGGGATTCCTGCATGTCAGTGGGGAGCAGAAGCCCACAGGAGGAAAAAGCCTAGGGGGCATTTGCTTCCTTATAGAGATAAGGAACCATTGTGGTGTGGTGAAAAGAAGTTAGGACTGAGAGACCAGAAACCTGGCTGTTTTCAGGACCAACCCTATTGCTATCCCTGGGCCTCTTGACCTCAACTCCAATATCTCTAAAATGAGGTACTATATAAAGATCTCTGAAGTTGCCCAGAGCTGTGTGGTTCCAATATCAGAAAGTGGACAGTGGCTAGGAAACAATAGAGACTGAGGTAGACATGAGATAGACATGAGGAGGCATGAGAAAGGCCTCCCAGGCTTCAAGGATAGGGGGAATTGCGCAACTTTAGGGGATCTTGGGAAAAGCCTAATTTCCTGACAGTCTCCTTGTACTCTTCTATGTTCCTACCAATCATTTGGAAGAAAACATCCTCCAAGTTTTCCATGTCCTTCACTTTGAACACATGTTGTTCGTTATCCTTCTTGGAAGCCAAAGCATTGATGTTTACTTGATCCACCAGAGGCCCGACCCCAAACACATACACATCTGAAGGAGAAAGGGAAGTTTAAGGATCCAGGCTGAGAAATCATGGTGCTGGGTCCTAGGCAAGTCACTCACCCAAATAATCCTCCCTTGGGTTCTTGCGATCCCTGCCAATGTCCAGCAAGTCCCGGATCTCATCAATGACAGTGACTGGGTCCCCACCCATGTTGTATAAGCCTACAGAAGAGACAGGGACCATAAGGGTGGGAGACAAGGAAGAGGGTTTAAGAAGATAAGTTGGTTGGAGGCAGTGACACACATGGCTGAGATTGCAGATCACAGAGGCCCTTGGGGAGAAAGGTCCTTCCTTGTAAAGGGTCACAGAAAAGTTCAATATAGCCAGCTATGAGTATCATTCAGGGCCCCATCTCAGATTAGTGTTATCATGTGGACTTGAGGGAGGCTGGGGCAGGAGAGTTTCCTTCTAACCATCAGTCATGAGGATTATGACATGGCGGGTGCGATTCCAGCCTTCAGGGGGGACATCCCCTGCCCAGCTCATCATGCTGTATACTGCCTGGAGGGCCTTCTTGGTGTTAGTCCCTGTCTTCAACTTGTGGTCTGTGGAGAGGAAAGAGGCCATCACCTCACTTGGTCTTCCAAGCCATTCTTGAGCCCCAGAGGCCTGTCACAACAGATCCCACATCCTTCAACTTTGTGAGTTAATTGTTACCCACTGACTTCCCTTTGACCACACAGTGGCCCTCCCAGCCCCCAACGTGTTCCCACTAAACCCCATTGCTCAATGACTCATTTGTCCAACCTTTTAACTATAAAGTCCCCTTTTTCTACCTCAATGTGATTTCCCTACCCACTCCTCACAAAAATCTTGAACCTTCTGATCTCTCTAACCCCAAAGTGGACCTCCCAGCTTTCCCTTCCGTAACCTCTGACCTTCATAACTAATTTGGTTGAGTTTTTCCGTGACCCAGTCGGCATCACTGCTCCTTGCATCAGACACTCTGACCAAGATTTTGGGTGCTGTGGCATATGTCACTAGAGCATATTTTGGCTTCACCCCATAACTCGCCACCTGTGGGTGAGAGGACCGTGGAATCATGATATTAAAAGAAGAATACTGTGGGAAATCTTTGGTATCTTTGCTGGGACAGGGAAAGCCATAGTAACAGGCTCATGGGCTGAAGTTCAGGGAGGAGGCCATGTTAAACATCAAGGTACTGCATCATATAAAAGGGGCAGGACAGAGCAGGGCATGGGGCTTTCTGAGAACCTGTGGTTCAGAGGGACTGGGAGCACCAAGGAGCTAGTCTTAGAAGAACAGTGAGGTCCATTTAGGGTCCCCACGTTCAAGAGGGAAGAGATTCCACCTTTTCAATTAAGTTGGTGAGACACCTCTTGGCCCCTGTGAAGTTGCTGGCCCCAATGCTATCTGATCCATCCAACACCAGGTAGATATTCATGGAGCCTGAAGGATCTAGGACAATCTTCCGCTTTTGTTGTTCCCCTGGGTGACAGGAAGAGAGTTTTCAGTTCCAACATGCATGGTTCTCCTGCCTCTTCTCCATTCTCTCCAATTCCCCACCCTGTCTGCCCACAAACCTGGGCTGTGTCCATCCTCAGCATCAACTCCTTCTATGGTCTCTGTCAGGGAGGACAGGAAGGCTTCTGCCACCTCTTCAGGAGTGTCATACATGAAAGAGTCTGGGAAAGACCAGAAGTCAGGTTAAATGTCTAGAATATTAAAGACACAGTGACCAGAGAGGTGGGATGATGGGTTTCCAGGGTGGGAAGGGAGGATTAGAAGAAGTGAGAAAGGAACTGGGTTGAGGCGGGAAGACAACAGTGTTCTAGTGAAAGGACATTTGGATGGAAAGGCAGGATCTGACCTGGGGGAGCAGGTCAAGAGGACTGGAGCTGTGGGTCAAGCAGTAGAGCACCTGCTTTACAAGCATGACATCCTGAGTTCAAACCCCAGTGCCACCAACAAAAAAAAAAAAGTCACCTTGACAGGAAGGTTCTGTCCCGCTCCAGGAGCCACCTTCCTGGCATCTTCGCTGTTGGGACCCTCGCAGGGTTAGTCCCCGTTTGCAGTGGTAGGTGACACTGTCTTCAAGGCGGTACTGGCTGCCCACCTTCCTTGTGCCAATGGGGATGCCTGGGTTGGGGCAGTACCCCGCTGCAGAGATATAAGACATGGAGGCAAGTGAGTCTGAGGTCCAGAAGGGATGGCAGAAAACAGGATTATAGTTCCCATTCCTCAGAGTGGAGCCATCACGAAAGGGTAAGGTGGTTGGTGGTAGGCATGCTTCGCACCTCCATCATCGCAGATAGCCGTTTGCCCATCCCACCGGCCGTTTGCTTGACAGGTACGATTGGCAGAGCCCCGCAGAGTGTAACCGTGGTAGCAGTGGAAAGAGATCTCATTGCTCACATTGTAGTAGGGAGACCGGGGCCAGTACTCCCCATTTTCAAAGTCCTGTGGTCTTGGGCAGCGAATTGCTTTGGGGAGGACAAGTAGAAGTTACCAGATGTGAAGGGCAGTCTTCAGTGTGTCCTTCCTTGTCCCTGAGAAGTAGCATCTTCCCAGCCCTGTGGGATTGGCTGCTCCCACTGCTCCTCCCTCCCCATTTCTGAGCATTTTCTTCATTGCAAGGGCTGCCCAACACAGTCAAATAGCAAAGGTGAGCTCTCCTGCCTCCCTTCTTCCCATTTGCACCCCAAGAGGTGCACCTAAAGTGGTTAGCCTGCTGGTCTGAACTTCAACTTACTTGGAACAGGTCTCTCTACCTGGTTTTCTCCATCTGTCCCCCACACCCCACCCCACCCCCACTGCTCATGCTCACTGCCTCAAACCTCTGCACTCTGCCATCTTGACGATCTTTTGGTCTCCGGTCTTCAGAGTACTCCAGGATCCTGTGGATCTGCAGGTGCGAGTCTGTACAGGGTACGGGTAGAAACCAGAGGGACACACATACTCCAAGGCCTGGCCCCCCTGCAGAAGTTGGAAGGAGCCACCTTTGATCTCTACCCCCTCTAGAGAACAGGAGCTTTGGGGCTGGTCCGCCGGCAATGGACTCGTGCTCACGCCTAAAGAGAAAGGCTGGTGAAGCCTGGCCCCACAAGGCCAAGGAGGAATGCTAGGGGAAGCATAAGGAGGAGGTGACCCTTGCTTACCTCCAGACAAGAGGCCCAAGACCAAGGATACCAGGCAAAGTTGGGAGCTGAGATTGCGCCCCATGGCGATAGAAGGCAGGAGAGAAGCTGGAGCCAGGTCAGGAGGACTTCAGTTTCACTCTGTGTGTCTGCTTGGCTCAGTGTCCAGGTTGAAACTCCAGATCAGGCCCTGGCCACCTGCACTCCCTTCCCCTCCAGCCTCAGCCTTTTATGCAATCCATTCTGGCACTGGTGGCTTGTCCTGCCTGCCCTGCACACATCACTTTCCTGGAACATTCAAGCAGGAGGGCCCCACTGATCTGCCAACTGAAGAAATGGAAACTACACAAGCCCCACCTTTTGCTGCACAAGGTTCTGGACTCTCCCCTTCAACATTCCCTCTCCCCCCAGACCATCCCCAACAAGCCCAAACCACCCCCCACACAGGGACCCCCAGCTCACTCTCCTGTGGACTGTGTTATGGGGCAGAGTCCAGACACTGTTTGTCCACCAGGGTCTCTGACCTTCCTGGAATCATCTGGCCTCCCCATCCCCCAGGCAGAAGTGCAAACAAATGTGGAAATCTTGATTTTTATTAATTTCATAACTGGGAAATTCCATGCAAAAGTGAAAGGAGCATGAGTCAGGAAGGGGGTAGGGATTTGAGCATGGGCAATCCTGCGGGCACCAGCCTTGGGGATTCCCCAGCTGTGTGTACTGCCTCTGGCCTCTGGAGCCCAGGATTTACGCAGGTAGGAGTGAGGATGGGTCATGGGGTCTGAGGGTGAACATTCAGAGGTAGGAGATGGGAGCAGATCCTGGCAGGAGAGCAAAAGGAGTCCGTGGCCATTGTTAAAGGGGCAAAAAGTTCAGAACGCCCTCCAGGTGCCGCCTCAGCCAGGGCTGCAGGCGGAAAAGATTAATGTGGAAGTCCCGGGGCGATGGGACGCCAGGGGAAGCCTTTTTGCGGGAATTTTTGTTGGTGGCGCCAAAACAAGGGTTGTAGAGACCCCAGCTCACCAGGCCCACCTGGAGGAAAGGAGACAACAGGATAGGAGGCTCCATCAGCTCCCACTTCCAACCTCTCTGGTTCCTTCAGAGGCCTCCCACATGCCCCAGCAAGGTGAAGATCCTGTGCCCCATGCCTTCCCCCTTCTCACCTGGAAAAACCTGAATCTCCGTTCAAGGAAAACTGCTCCCCCAGATTCTCCTGTAGACAAAGAGAGACAAGGGACATTGTCATCTGGGGCAGCACACTGGTGCCCTGGCATCCTGGCCACAGGGACACAGTGGCCTTACCACCTGAGAATCCAGGCAGAGGGGCATTCACCTTTGCAGGGATTCTCATCCCCTGGAGTCCCACTACACAGGAACTGATCTGTCACCACCTCTCTGACATCTGTTAAGTTGGGGAACGTTTTTTTGTCTTGAGAGACAACCTGGATACAGCTTGTCCACTGCGGTAGGCATGGAGTGGGAGAGAAGAATGAAATGAGTGGCCTAGAGAACACTTGGAAGACCAGCTAGGCATCAGAGGAAGGGTAACTTGAGTCAGATGGAGGAAGCAGCCAGAGCCAGAGGAGAAAGATTGGTCAACATTCTGGGAGCTACCTCTGGGGAATCCCAGCAATCCTAACCTGAGACCCTCACCTGTGGCCCTGTCTTGAGGTTAATGTTCAGTTTGCTCCCATTCAAGGCCACAAAATGAGCAGGAATGCTCTGTTGGTTCAGAAGTTCTCTTTCTGCCATCAAGGAGAAAAGGATGTCGGTACAGGTCTCTTTACCCAGAATCCAGTTATCTGGCTTGAGGACTGCCCCAAGTCCTGGTCCCAACTCTTCCCAAACCCAACACTCACCATGGTCCTGACAAGTGCTGCCTTGGGGTTTCCGCAGAGCCATATTGGCCTCCATGGTGCAGGGAAGGCAGATGGGCCTGAGAAGAAGGGTGAGCGTCACACAGGTCTGCTTCCCAGAGCACTCCCCTGCAGAGAGCCATCCCATCCCAGACACCTGGCATGGGTGGACATCTTCACTTTTTGGGCCAGCTTCAGCAGGGCGATGTCATCACCGTAGAATTCCAAGATTCCCTGGTCCTTCTTTGCACAGACATTAAACCCTGAGGGGATCACTGCCTCCTCAATAAGGAATTCTTTGCCCCACTGGGAGTCTGGATCACCTGGGAACAATATGATGAATTAGGCTGTACCAGGACTCCTGAAAAGGCTATAGGCTGCGGACAGGAAGTAGAAGCTGTGGCCTCAGTGTCAGGGTCAGGAGCCTGGTACAGCCCCTGCCTTACCCACGTTGACCCTCCACAGGGAATGGTCCTTAGCTTTGTGGAAGCAGTGAGCTGCTGTCAGGACCCACTGGTCAGAGATGAGAGCCCCCCGACAGGTCTCCTGACTCTTGGACTGCAGGAAATAGGTGACAATCAGGGACTGCAATGTCTCTGGCCCATGTCTGCCTTCACCTCTGGGATCCAAGTTCCACCCCTCCTTTCTGGTACCTTAATAATGACATGCCAGGGTGTCCTCTCCTGGTTGGAGGCATTGGCTGACATGTTCCCCACTCCACAGATGGTGTCAGTGAGCGTGGAGACATCTGAGAGTATGAGGATTAGATTGGGAAGGAGGTGAATGAGAAGCACGGCATCCAGGTTCTCCACCTAGGCTGGCTCCTCACCCTCCTCCCCGCTGCCAGGAAGATGAAGCTCACTCACCCAACATGTGCTCAAAGACCTGCTGCAGAGCCTGTGTGTCCTGCAGGATGAAGGCATGTCTCTCACCATCCTTCTTGGACCCCAGCTCATTCAATTCTCTCCAGTCCACATCCAGCTTTCCCACCCCAATGGCATAGATGTCTGATGGGGAGGAGAGAAATCACCAGAAACCCTGTGGCTGGGCAGCTACCCCATAAGACTGACGGCTGGCATTTGAACTCACTGTGCCAACAAAGACTTGAATGAGTTAGACCCCTGCCTCCCTTATCCCTGCTACCTGTCTGACTTTGTTTCCTACCACTCTCTGCCTCTGCCCTTCCCACACAGCCTCTTTGAAGTTCCCCTAATCTTCAGGCACACTCCTACTTCAGGTCCTCTGTGCCAGCTGCACCTCTGCCTGGTTCATTCTCCTCCAGACGTCCACAAGCTTATTGTCACAGCTTTTTAAAGTCTTGGCTCAGATGTCACCTTCTCAGCGAGGCCCTCTCTGTTAAAACTGCAATGTCCCAGGCCCTCCCATCTTCTTCCTGCTCTACTTTTATCATGTTGCATGTCACCCACCAGCTGCTTGCTATATGGTTTCCTTATTTATCATGTGTTGCCTATAGTGGGTAAAATTGTGTTACCCAAAAGAATGTGTTCAGGTCCTAACTCCCTGGGGTCTGTGAATGTGACCTTAATTGGAAACAGTCTTTGCTGATATCAAGTTAAGATGCGGTCATACTAGGTTAAGGTGAGCCTAACCTGACTGCTGTCATTGGGTTGTAAGAAGGGGGGCTTGCAAAGTGCCTGCTTAGTATGTGTAAGAGCCTGGGTTCATTCCCCAACTCTGCAAAAAAACTATATTTTTTAAATAAATAAAAATAAGAGAGGAATTTGACACAAACACACAAATAGATGGACACTGTGTAGTGACACAGATCACACAGAAAAGAAACAAAGAACAGAAGTAGAAGTTGAGGTTAAGCTGCTACAAATCAAGGAAAGGCCTTAGAGCCACAGAGGTGGAAGATGGGGAGAGGGGAGAAGGATTCTTCCCTTAGAGCCTCCAGAGGGAGCACAGCCCTACTTACACTTGATTTCAGACTTTCGACCTCCAGAACTGGGAGAATAAATTTGTGTTTTAAGCCACCCAAGTTTGGGGTAGTTTGTTAAAACAACCCTAGGAAATACATTGTCCCCTCTGTCCCCTGGGAGTAGGCATTTCTGTCTTTCCTGTTCACAGCTGAATCCTAGCACTGAGGATGGTGCCTGGCCTGGGAGAATAAGGGTTCTCAGTAAGGGCTTTGAAATAACCAAATGAATATATAGAACTCATGAACCACAGGCTGGAGACAAAGCTTCAGATCTGCTCTTCCTTTATAAAAAGTAGGCTCAGGGAGAAGCACCAAAGTCACCTCTTCCTAGGAGTGGCCCTGGACCCACACAACCACACAACAGTTCATGCTGGTCTCAGAGCATGGGTGCTAGGGAAAACCACCCTGAGATGGTTGGTTTTCTCTCATCCTTTGTGGTTCATTTTGCTCTCAGAGGGCTCTGTGCTTGTATGTAAGCAGCAGAATTCTCAGGGAGGCTGAGAGAAGACTTCAGCCAGGAAGCAAGGCAGCCACACCTAGTGGGAGCAACACAACAATGTTCCCTGCATGTTTTCTTGGAGTATTTTCCTTCCGTTTCCTGCTTATTTGTTTGTGTATTTTGCAGTGTTGGGGATCAAACCCAGAACCTCGAGCATGCTAAGCAAATGTTATACCACTGAGCTATAGCCCCAGCCTTTCTTTTTTTGGGGGTAGAGGGAAGATGGGTGGTTCTGGGGATTGAACGCACGGCCTTGTGCCTGCTAGGCAAGCACTTTACTATTTGAGTCATGCTTCCAATCCCTGCTCTTTTTGAGATTTGAACCTGGCTCAGATGCTCAGGAGGAAGGGAATGGGGTTTGAGTGTTGTCTTCCTTGGGCTAGCAAGTTTTAAAGAGGAATCAGCTTACCCCTAAGGGTCAGGGATGGAGCAGTGGGAATGGAAAGAAGAGGACCCACCAAGACGGTGAAATTTGAAGGCTTAAAACAAGCCTTCAAGGAGTGTGACTGAAGTGGTAGAGAACTTGTCTAGCAAGCACAAAAGCCCTGAGTTCAAACCCAGTACCATTAAAAACAAAAACAAGAAACAACTATTCTGCCTGCCTGAGTGTCTCTCTCCAAAATTCTTTTCTTTGGAGTGGAGTGTAGCTCAGTGGTAAAGTACCTCTTAGCCTGCACTAGTTTCCATTCCCCTGCACTCCCCATCACCACAAATACAAATTCTTTTCAAGTCAAAAGTCAGTGTCGTTTGTGTTTACTCTGAACCTGAGGATTTTTTCCTTTAGCGGCTGCACCTGCCAAAGCTTAGTTAACTAGCTATATTGCTAAAAGGGGGATGGCAGAGACAGGCCCCTTCTTCCCGGAACATTTCCTGAAATGTGAGAAGGTGGTGAGGACAATATGACGATGGCTGCAGAAGCTAATGTGCGCTGAGTGGTTCTCTGTGAGGCAGGTCCTAGTACAACTTCCCACTCACAGATAAAGAAACTGCCTACAACCCCAGCCTGGCAAAGATGAAACCAGGGTAGAGACCGTGGGCAGTTTGACTCCAGACTCATCATATCATACTCAGCATCTCTACACAGAACAACAGAGAAAACCGTGCGGCTCGGGGCCAGAGCCAAGATTTGCAAGAACCCCTGGCTGAGGACACTATGCCCCCACCCGACAGGGGCAGCAGAGATGGGGGCAGAGGCACACCTAGGTAGTCATTCCTTTTCTGGTTGATGTTTAGCATTTCTCTGATGTTGTCAACCGCTGGCTTAGGAGAGCCACCCATATTGGACTTTCCTAGAAAAGAGAGGACAAAAGAATTGCCCATCTGGATGGGTATCAAGATTCCCCAAACCAGTTGGGTGCTGGTATCAAGATTCCCCAAACTAGCCAGGTGCCAGTAGCTCATGCCTGTAATCCTAGATATGTGGGAGGCTGAGATTGGGAGGATCATGGTTCCAGACCAGCCATGGCAAATAGTTTGCGAGACCCCCCTCCCCCGCAATCTTCAAAATAAACAGAGCAATATGGACTGAGGGTGTGGTTCAAGCAGTAAAGTGCTTGCTTTGCAAGCATGAAGCCCTGAGTTCAAACACACACACACACACACACACACACACACACACACACACACACATACACACACACACAAAATCCCAAAGCAGCAGGGCACAATGGCTCACGCCTAAATCCTAGCTACTCAGAAGGAAGAGATTGGGAGAATCACAGTTTGAAAGCCCCCATCTCAACCAAAAAAAAAAAAAAATCCCAAGGCCCTGGAAGTATGAGGAAGCATTTAAACTAGGACCCTTAACAAAAACATTTTAATATATGCCATTTACTAAAATGTTCTATATTCCAGGCCAGGAGTTTCATATACTTTTTCTCATTTAATTCTCATGAAACCCTGGAAATGTTGGCATGCTTGGTTCATACATGAGAAAACTGAGTCCTAGAGGAGCTACATAAAATCAAGAGGTAGAGGCAGAGGCCAGAGGTACTACAGGTGACCCCTCCCGTTTCTGCTCAGTGCTAGCTACCTCCCAGGGAGTAACAAACCAACATGTCCTAACCACAGAGCGCTTTTACACAAACCACACAGGTTGCTTTACATAAAAATTGTGTGCAGAAAGGAGAGCAGCTGTGATTATCCTCATTGCCACTGTTATCACTATCAACCCATTTCTACTTTATAAATAAGATACTGTGGCCCATGCTGCTTTGGCAGCACAGATACTAAAACTGGAAGGATACAGAGATTAGCAAGGCCCCTGTGTGACAATGGCACATGAGACATTCCATATTTTTCCGGTGCTCTATAGCACTATAGGATAACTATGCTTGACAACAATTAATTGACTATTTTGAAATAGCTAGTAGAGAGAATTTTGAGTCCTCCCAGCACAAAGAAATGATAAATGTCTGAGTTGATAAGATATGATCACAAATTGTATATATGTATTGAAAAAGCACACCATGCCCCATAAACATGTACAATGACTGTGATAATTTAAATTAATTATATTTAAAAAGAAGAAAGCTGGGTATGATGGTTCATGCTTGTAATCCCAGTCACTCAGGAGGCTGAGGCAAGAGGACCGTGAGTTCGAGGCCAGCCTGGGCTACATAGTGAATTTGAGGTTAGCCTGAGCTATATAGCAAGACTGTCTCAAAAAACGAACAAAGCAAAACAAAAGCAAAGAGAGCCAGGCTCCAGTGGATCATGCCTGTAATCCTAGTTACTCAGGAGGCAGATATCAGGAGGACTGTGGTTCAAAGCCAGCCCGGGAAAATAGCTCACAAAACCCTATCTTGAAAAAACCCTTCACAAAAAGGGCTAGTGGAGTGGCTCAAGGTGCAGGCCCTGAATTCAAAACCCCAGTACCACAAAAAGTAAATAAAATAAATGAAAAGGAAAGAGAGCTTCTCTATTCTCATACATTAATATATGATATAAGGGAAACCATCTCACCAAAGAATAACAGGACTTGCATAAGAATTTATTTTACGTTAGTTCAACTGCACTGTTGCTTAACTCCCTTTCTTGAAATACATTTGCTATGAAGACTGAACAAAGAAAAGGAAAGAAACTGAGGCCCAGAGTGGCCAAGGGAGGCCCAGAGTGCCGGCCTTCCAACACTACCTTGACACTCCTTCCGCTATTCCAGACCCCAGCAGACATGGCGATACCCACCATCTGTCAGAAGAATGATGGCATGTCGGATTTCCTTCCAGCCCATGCTTTCTATACCAAGACGCTGCATTTGGTTATTCATCATGATGTAGACACTATTTAGGGCTTCATAGATGTTGGTCCCAGTTCCGTTTCTATGATCTGGAATATGCCGAAAGGAAGAGCTCTCTTAGAAACTTCCTACCTCCTACCTGGAAGTGAGGAATCACTCTGCTCCCCCAAGCACTAGAAATGGAAGTTATCAGACTGATTTGATAAACTCAGACCTTTGCCATCTGTGGAGATTTGGCACCATTGCCTACTCAAAAGTCATCCAGCCTTAGAAATGCTCATTTCATAACCCTGTCCAAGACCTCTCTGATGTCCCAAGATTCGAAGATGATATTTCCAAAGAACTTGGGTTGTTTTAGCCATTTGCCACATGCCACCCAAGCAGATTTACACATGTGCAGGTGGACAATGGCAGGGACGTCTACAGCGCTGAGTCATGAAAAGCAGAACGTGCAGCTTGGGCTCTGCGAGGAGCTGAAGACCCACATGGTGCACCTGGACCTGCAGGGCATCAGTGGAAGCCAGGAGGTGGGGTTGCTGGAGCCCCGCCATGACCCTGGCCTTGGAAGCTACTTGAGTGCCTCAAGATGCCTCTCTCTCTCATTTTTCTGGAATCTGTCTGCAGTTACCGAATCCATCCTCTTCTCTACATCACCTTCACTTGACTTCACTTGCAGTCATACCTGCATAGTCCACATTTTCCATACTGCTGCTGACTTCGGTCACATCCCGGGATTTGTCATTCAGGACAGACATGATAATTTTGGGCTGTGAGGCAAACGTGATAATGGCAACGCTAACATTGATGTCAAAGCTGAAGATCTGTGGAGGGCAGATGAGAGATGGTGTGAGGGCCCCGAAACAAATGAGGAGATTGTAGGAGAGCAAGGAAGGGGCCCACAGAGAATCTGGACCAAGCCTGACAGGGACAGAACACTCATTAAGAAGCTGCACCTTGGAAGAAGCCAAGAAAGTAACATTTAATGAGCGTCTGTATTCTTTGACAGACTCTCTCCTCATTTCATCCTCACATTAACACAGTGAAGGGGCACCACAGTCCCTATCTCAAAGATAAGGAAATTGAGGCTTATCACCCTGCCCCAAATCCCACCACTAGTAAGAGGCGGAAGGAGCAGGTAAGTCTGCCAGTGTGACTCTGATGTCATTTCTCTAACTGGTGTATTTTGTGGCCTCAATGTGGTACTTAATTTTAAGTCCTAAGAGAGACTCTTTGGAATACAAAAAAGTCTTTGAAATGTATCTAAGCCAGGTGCAGCAGCTCACCCCTGTAGTCCCAGCTGTTTAGGAGGAGGCAAGAATCAGGAGGATCACGGTTAGAGGCCAGCAAAAAGTTAGCAAGACCTCATCTCAACAACAAGCCAGGAGTAATGGCATGTGCCTGTGATCCCAGCTATGCGAAAGGCTGTAATTAGGAAGATCACAGTATGAGGTTGGCGGTGGACAAAAACACAGGTCATACCTGAAAAATAACTAAAGCAGAAAAGAGCTGGAAGCATGGCTTAAGTGGTAAAGCACCTCCCTAACAAGCCCTAAATTCAAACTCCAATACTGCCACACACAGACACAAAACACTGTGTCTGAGAGACTAGAGGTGTAGCTCAGTGGTAGAACATGCACTTAGCATGCAGGAGGTCCTGGGTTCTTTCCCATACCCCAAAAAAATGTTTTTACTTTTACCTTTTTTTTTTTTTTGAGACAGGGTCTCACTATGTAGCTCAGACTGGCCTCAAATTTGTGATCCTCCTGCCTCTACCTTCTGAGTGCTGCTGAGATTACAGGCTTGTGCCACCACACTCAGCTTAAAAGTATTTTTTTATTTTAATATTGCTGGGAGGAAAAACCATCTATATAACATGAATTATTGTGAAATACATAATTACCAAAATAAAGTACTGGCCAGGAACTGAAACCAATGACTCAAATTCTTCTGTTTGTACATCTTGAGTAAAAACATTTCTGGCACATACCCCAATATAGATATATGTATTTATAAATTATGTGTTTCCCTACTCAAATATATCATACACATTTAAACTTACACCAAATTTTGACATTTTAAAAGGAAGTTATTAAATGTTAAGTTATTGACTTAAATAAAATTAAATTATCCAATAGGAATGCCAGTATTTTTCTGCCACATCCCCATGGATTTTCTTGTTACACCACTATGGAGACCACTATTCTAGATGATAAATTTCTGGCATCCCCCAGCACCCCAGCACAGTGCCTGACACATGGTAGGTGCTCCAAAATGTCTGGGGAATCAAAAATACGATTATATAAACTGAATTCAAATTCCTGCATGGCATAAATATAATTTGGGGAGACTTCTAGAAGGAGGTAGATGGTGAGGGGGACTCTGAGCAAGGGAAGGAGACCGAGGGAGCCAGGAAGGCCCCTCCGCATGCAGGTTCCGGATTCCTGACCCTGTCCACCATGAGAGAAGCACTGTTCTTGAAGATCTTAAAGTCATCCTCTGACACACTCTGAGAGGCATCCAGGAGTAGGTAGAGGTTCAGGTGACCTGAGCGCTGGATTTGGATTTTACGGCCCAGGTTTTCTGCAGAAACGTTAAAGGAGGAGATTCAGATTCACCTTCTCCCTACACTCTAGCCAATGGAGTCCAGCCTCCCTGCCTCCCCTTCAGTCACTGAGCTCACTGTAGGCTTCCTGGCCTCCAGGAAGCTGGCTCCCTCCCCTGCCTTGCCCAGGCCCAGCCCCTGGTTCCCCCACCTCAGACACTTACCCTTCCTCTGCTGGGTGGGATTGGTGGCTCCAAGCAGGTGGGACAAGGAGGTTCCTAGGGCAGGGGCCACATCCTCAGGGAAGTCGTAAGAGTAGGGCTCTGTGGGAAGAGCCCCACTAGGGTTAGCCAAGATCAGGGCTACAGTGAGTGCCAGGAGCCTCAAGAGGACGGTGTGGCTACTCACGACGGCAGATGGGCTCTGTCCCACTCCAGACCCCGTTGTTCAAACACTCCCGCTCCACAGACCCTGTCAGCACCAGATTCGAGGAGCAGCGATATGTGACCTTGTCCCCAAGGCCAAAGCGGGAGCCAGTCCGCACAGCACCCACCGAAATGCCAGGGTTGGGACAGTGGTCAGCTACAAGTGAACAAAAAAGACAGCGATGAACAGGGCTCTGTCTGCCCTTCCCATCAGGCGCTTCCTCCTCTCCAGACCCTCAGAGCCTCCAGGGTTCCTTGGGAGACCCCAGAACAGTGAGATCAGGGTGAGGATAGAGAATAAAGTAGGATGGAGCATTCAGAATCCCGCAGCATCAGTCCCCGGCTGAAGCATCCCAATCCTGACTTTGTTTTCATATGTGTCTGTCATGAGCCACACCCCTCCATAAAGAAAAAACACTTGTGTTTCATAAGCCACAATGAGACGTCACTGAACACTAAAACCACAGGTGGGTCCAGGTGTTGGAGAGGACTGCAGCAATTGGAACTCTGTTACATTGCTGGAGCATGTATTGGTGAAACTGTTTGTGAGACTTAGCGCTAAATATAAGCCAAGCTATCATCTCTCTCGACTATTCCACTTGTGGATCATGGACTCAAGAGGATCAAGGTGTACCAAAGCCACAAGTGAGAATGTTCATAGAACTTTTACTCATAATAGCCCCAAACTGGAAGTAACTCAAATGCCTATCAACAGAAGAATGAATAAACAATTTTTAGCACATTCATATGATGGAATACTACACAGCAATAAAAAAGAACAAACCACTGATTCATATAACAATATAGATAAATCTCATGGGCAGTGTTGAATAAAAGAAACCAGAGGCACAAAATCACATCCTGCATGATTCCATTTATATGAAGTGTAAGAATAAGCTAAGCTAGTCTATGAACATGGAAGTCAGAAGAGGAATGCCTTGTGGAAGGAGACAGGGAGGAGCCTCCTAGAGCGTGAGACATGTTCTATGTCTGGGTTGTGATTATACAGGTAGATACAAGTGTAAAAATTCATCAAATTAAATATTTAAGATTTGCATAGCTCGGGGGTATAGCTTAGTGGTAGAGTGCTTGCCTAGCATGTGAGAGGCCCAGGTTCAATCCCTGGCATAAAAAAAAAATTTGCATCCTTTACTATAGGTAGATTATACTTCAATTTTAAAATAAATTCTATTTATGCTTGAATAAACAGCTATTTGGAAGCGATTCGAAGGTATACGTAGGGAGCCTCAGCTGGGTGACTAGGTGAGGTATTTGTCCTGCCATGTGGGGACTCTCTATTCTCTGTTATGTAACCCACAGGCTCATGTGGCCCGGGGAATCCTGGGAGCCCAACTGCTGCCTGTCACAGAGAGCCCCTCACTGTTCACCTGGGCTATTTAGCAAAGACAAATGTGTACAAAGTGTTTACCAGGTTCCGGTGACTGTTTTAGATGCTTGCTCATATCGACTCATTGAACCCACATGGCACTCCCATGAAGATGGCACTCTTACTGTTCCCATTTCACAGATGTGGAAACTGAGGCATAGAGAGGTTAAATAACCTGCTCAAAGGCTGTCAAAGTCAGAGCTGGCCTTGGAACCCATCCTTGGCTCCAGAGGCAAGGGACATAGACACAAGACTCAACTCTTTCCAGCATGGCTTCCCTTCAATAGTTCATGGAGTCAAATACCAGTGCTGCACCGAGGCATTTAGAAAAGTCGGGCAGATCTTGTGAAGCCTCCATGTCAAATCTGAAGCTTAGCACCAACTGCCTGGACCAGGCTTCCTGTGAACAAGTGGTGGGTGAACGCTAGACCTCAATTTACCTAAATCCAGGAGTATTTACTGTGCCACCAAGAACAGCAGAACCCTGTCCCCACGCTTGGCTCCTAGAAGCCTCCATGCAACTCATCAGTCAATGCACTCACCCCCATTGTCACACACGGCTGTCTGTCCATCCCACATGCCGTTGGGACGACAGTGCCGCACAGACGAGCCCCGCAGTGTGAAGCCATCCTCACACTCAAAGCTCAGGTTGCCACCCACAGGGTGGGATCCCAGCCGAGGGGTGTACACACCGTTCTCAAAGGTAACAGGGGCTGGACAGCGAACAGCTGGAGGAGAGAAGTGGGAGAGGCAGAGATGGATGGCCAACATTTGGGTTGGTAGACAGAACCATGTAAGTTAGTGTTTGAGGCAACTGGCTGAATACTGGCAATTTCACAGAGTTCAATCGAACTGATTGATAAATAGCTACTTCCCTCAATCCCCTGAGGGCTGTGGCCACCCCAGCCCTCAGATCCTTGGGTGTCTTGGATCCGGGGCCATTCAGCATCTACTCAGGATGGTCATTACTGTGCAGCTGATTGTGTGTAAAAACCCACCCCTCAACTTTCTACCCCTATTGCTGCCTGTCCCCAATTCCTTACTATGAGCAACTGACACTTTCCGAGTATTCTGAAAGGCACTCTGTAAGAGTAGCTTGGCCCTTCTCCCACGCCACCTAGCCAACGTAAACCCCACCCTGAGTAACTCCCAAATAGAAGTTCCGGGCTGTTCCTCGGCGAGGCACGTTGAACAAAGTCCAAGGGGAGCCTCACGTTTGCAGACCGCTTTAACGAGCCAGCTGGATCTCAGGGTGGATTTCGGGGTCTGCCACTGTCCATTGCTCTTGCACAGCCGCGATGCAGGGACTGGATAACTGCCCTGGGGGCAGGAGTAGGTGAGGAGGCTCCCAGGGGCCCAGCCATGGCTGAGAGTGAAAGTGCCACCAGAGATATTCACATTCTGAGGGCAGGAGGGAGCAGCATTGGCCACCAGGCCTGTAGGCATGGAGACACATGGACAGCAACAAGGAAAAGAAGGAAAGCACAGTTGAGAAAAGAAACCATGAGAAACTACCCCTTTCATATGTGGGACTCTATCTAGTAGCACTGGCCGTGCCCACAGGGCCCCACTGTCCCCCTACCCTGCCTCCTACCTGGGCACAGGGACAGCAGGCAAAGGAAAGCCAACAGAGGGTCCATGGTGTCCACCCCAGGGCAGGGAGAACCTAGAGCTAGGAGAGAGAAAAGGTCATCTGACTTCCCGAAAACCAGAGCTGGCTCAGCAGCTACTTCATTTGCTGGCAGAGAACGAAAACTAGGGAGTGGCAAGGGGGATGGTCTCTTGCTAGAAACAAAATTATAAGCAGGGATTGGGGACTGAGCTGAGGGGCAAAACCTTTGCCCTGCCTCCCTAAATCCAGTGCATCCACAGAGTCAGTAGATTACCACCACAGGCTTTTTGTACAGCTCCCAAGCGCCGCCTGTCACACACACACGCACACACATCCATGCATGCACACACTCACACACACGTACTCAAACACCTATACAGGCTCTGGTGCACGCTTGCACTTGCATTAGTCTAAAGCACACAAACTCACAGCCATCCAAGATATTGCAAAACGTTTTATTTAAGTAAAGTTTTAGTTTTCTTTTGGGTTTTGCCAAGTGAATTTGACTTCCTGAGAGCCTGGGACAAGGTGATCTTCTTGAATTTAAACTTCTAAGAACTTGAGACAAATTTTCTTAGAACTTCGTGATAAATAGGAAGAGTCATGATTGTTTTCTTCCCTGAAACCCTCTCCCAGAGAGAATCTAGGGATAAAAATAAAATCAACCCTTTCTTGTGGAGATAGGAAAACATGTTTAGAACATTTTTACAGAAATTCCAGTGAATAAAATTCCCAAGTTGCAAAATAAATAAATTTGGAGTTAGTTACTTGAAGGAATAAAAGTATCTTGGAGTTTGAGATGTGCCTGTAAACCATAACCTGCACTTGTGTAACATTCAGGAAACAAAGAAACTTTAAGCCAGTGTGTCAGCCTCTCTGTCCCACAGAAGTCTCTTTAATACTTTTTCAAAAGATGTGGGGTATAAATCAATAAGATAAATCAAAAAATGAAGCTGAACCTCTCTGAAGTTATGTTTTAAGTTGGAGAAAACTCAATTTAGAAACTTCTCAGAAACACACATACACAAAGTGGTGTTCACGCTAGGTAAAATAGAACACATGAAGACTATGACACCACTGGTACTGGGGGTCCCAAAGCTGCTGCTATGGCAGAGCTGCTGGTGCCTCTTCCACCCCTCCTTCTATAGTAAGAGATGTTTATGAGGACACACAGTCACCAGCTAAAGACATTTCCCAGCCTTCCTTGCAGCTGGAAGTCAAAGTGACTTGCTTCTGGCCAATAGGATTTGAGTAGAAATGATATATGTGTGACTTTCAATTTATGTTCCTAAAATAAAAGAGGAGAATGCCCTTCTAGCTCCATGGACTGGAATATAAACCTGGTGGCAATCCATCTTCCACCTGAGGTATGGGCAACATCTAGAGGGGACAGAACAAACAGAGGAGCCTGGGTTCCTGATACTTTGTTGACGTCAGACCAGCCCTACCCACCTTCTCAGATTGTTACAGTAGAAATCATCCTAAGAGTGGTGGGTGTTAAAGAATGGTCACAAATATTGTGGGTCTGTCTCCTTTCAGTCTTAGGGTGGGATTGAATTTTCCCATCCATTTGCTTTGGCTAATGAAATATGAATTTGAGTGACATTGTCACTCTCAGGTAGAAGTTCTAAGAGCCAATGAAGCCTTCTTTCCTTCAATTTTTTTTTTTTGTTTTGTATTGTTCTGATTTTTGTCTTTGAATCTTACCTTTATTTATTTATTTTTATTTTAAAATTTATTTTGGTGGTACTGGGGTGATTTTTGTTTGTTTTTGAGACAGGATCTTACTATGTAGCCCAGACTACAAATTCACTTACCCCCTGCCTCCCAAGTTCTGGGATTACAGATGTGCACCACCATGTCTGGCTAACTTCCTTTCCTTCTGTATGGAAACATTTGAGATGGTGGCTTCTCCATCAGCCTAGATCCCTGGGTGACACAAAAAGCAGAATCCCCTGCTGACCCCAGAAGATATCCAATATGAGCAAAAATAAACCCTGTGTTATTTTAATCTACTGCGTTGCTCTTGATGTGTGGGGGGAATAACAACCAAAATATAGGGGCTTTAAAATTATTTACTTAAAAATGATTCTGCGGGTTGGCAAAGGGATTCTTCTGTGGTCTTTCCTGGACTCAGTCATGCAGCCACAGTCACCTGTAGACTGAGTTCAGTGGGAAGAGTAGGAATTTGGACCTGTTCTCATGGTCTTTTAGTCCCAGCCCTTCCTAGCATGGCATTCTCAGGACAATATTCTAACAGAACCAAAGTGAAAGTCACATGACATCACTTCTGCCATCTTCTATTGGTCACAACACAGAGGGAACAGACTTTACCTCTTGATGGGAAGAGTGGCAAAGTCACATTGCAAGGGACTATGCACACCAGAATAGATATATGCCATGTTTTCAAGCTGCTATGGCAAATAATATCTGGAGATTATTTGTTACCAGGGCATCATGAGCCTAATCTGATTGGATACTTAAGCCACCAAATTTTGGTTGCCTTTTTAACCCACCAAGCTCACATCACATTTAAGCTTCCTTTAAAAGAAAAAGCCTTTCTTTCATAAGTTCCTCCCAATATTTGTTGAGTGAAATCAACTGCACAGAGTGTGGCAGAATCTGGTTTCTCTTCTTTCTTAAGAAATGAAACTCCCAACTTTTCACTGGGCCCATGGAATATGATCTTGAAAGGTGTATGCTCCTCAATCTTTGTCCCTCCCCACTAGCTGAAATGACAACAGAATAGTGGAAGTTGGGGCAGCCATCCCAGACCACAAGATCACATGTCAATGACGACAAAGCGACAGAATTAAAGAAGCTCTGTTCCCTAATCCCTGTCAAAATTGTTCAGGGCGGCTATGCTCAGACCAGTTAAGCTACACTATTCCAGCCTGTAGTATAGCAGCCACGTCTGTCTGTAACATTCCACACCAGGAATCAACATGGGAGCTAAAGGCTGTGGGGCAGGGGAGGGGAGGCGATAATAAAGAGGCTCCAGTATACAGGATGGAAGTTTAGTTCTTTCTCAAATAAGAGCCTCAGCATAAGCAAGACTGAGGTGAGGGGACCCTGGCTGGCAGGGCAGTGCTGTGAATCAGCCCCGCTCATAACCGCATGTCCCATCTGTCACGCGACTGAGAATTGTCTTTGTCTGCATGGTTAAAACAGGGTCTCTATCAAGTCTGCATTCCAGTCCCAAAGAAGTGGAATGAGAAAGGAAACAAGATGCAAGTAATGGCATGAAAATTCTACCCAACTCTGCCACTCATATTCCACTGGTAAAAGCTCGTTTATATGGCAGCTGTGGCCTCTAATTTGTCTACCACTCTGACACAAAACCAGAAGAGGATGGATTTGGGGAAATAAAAACATACAACATGCAAGAATATTCGACTTTGTGGGAAACACCGACCACTGTGGGGGTCACATTGTATAGTGGCAAATGAAGGTGACAAGAACAGAGTGGGTGATCAGAGTTAGTCTGCTGTTCCAGTTCTCTAGGCATTCCAGTCCAACATGGAAGGACTGTGACCTGAGTGACTCTGGGGCTGAAGACACTGTCTTTATTCCTTTCTATGCTCCCAAATTGCTTGCCAGCAGGTCTCTAGTGGGTGAAGGGGAACTCAGCTTGTCTTTTTCCTGCATTGTTCAAAACCTTAGCAAATGCAACCTATGTTTGCATACAAATGCAGGAAAGAGGTAAATAATGCCAGCTTCATCATCTTTTCCAAATTTCTTTTTATCAATTCAAGACTTCTAATAGCTGCTTCCAAGGAACGGATTTCCCTGAGGCATTTAGAAAAGCTGGACAGAGTATGTAGGGCCTTAGTGTTGCATCTAATGTCAAGAGATGACATCACCACAAATTCTGCAACTTAACCCCTATTCACAAGTTCAAAAATGGAAATAATGATATATACTTTCTCAGGATGCCCTGTTACTCCCCTGGAGGGCTTAACACCTTGCAGTTAAAATTTTCTCAGATAACATGGGCAAACCCACTTTAGTGGCCATGGTCCATGGTTTACCCAGTCTGGACACTAGGACATGGACTTTGCTAGCATCCTAGGATCTGCCACCCCTAACTTTCTATGACAACTGTAGAACTCATTCCCCTCTCTAGATCAACCCCCAATTTGGGAATGGTTAACTTGTCCTGGTTCACAGCCATACTGTGTGATTTTAGTTGGAGATTCAGGGCTGCTTAACGAGCCTCTTTGTGGTTGTAGTAGTAGGTATGTTCTTGCCTCAGCTTGGGCCTGGTGAAACCCTAGCTGGTTTCATTAGCTTCCAACAAGAGCATCTCTACCTCTTCACCCAAGAGTGTGTGTGTGTGTGTGTGTGTGTGTGTGTGTGTGTGTGTGTGTGTCCTGCCCTAATCGTGCATAGAATGCTGAAAATGGCACAGAACCAGTGAAATACCCCTAGACCAGTGAGTGACTAAAATGGGTACATAAATACTCCAGCTCCCTCACTTACCACCATTGGGCAACTCTGAAGTGCATGTCTTGTACCACCCAGGGCTCCTCAGCAGATTAACCTCCACTGATCCACAATGGTAAATTGACTTGATAACACACCCTTTGTTGACCGCCTGTCTTTCCTGCCCCTCTTTCCTGCTCCCCCACTCATGCCTCCTGAGATCACTTTCCAAACCCACTATTTGCACATCAATTCTGGTCTCAGGGTCTACATCTACTTCTATTAGAGAAGACTTAATGTTAACAGGTCCTACTATGTGCTAACCACAATTCTAAATCCTTTCTATGTAGGCACTCGTTTTATCCTCACACAAGCCTATGGCACAAGTTCTGTCATTACTCTTGCTTTGCAGATGAGGAAGGAGTCACAGAAATGTTAGGTGAGCAGCCCCAGGTTCACGCAGGCACTAAGTAGCAGAGCTCATGGTTCCCGAATCTGTAGTCATAGTCACAGCTCTGTGGTGACTTCAGAGCTCCCTGCATGCCCCTCAAGCCCATCCCAGCCCCCTGCATTGTGCCTTTTCAAGACTTGCCTCCCTAGGCTCTTGCCTCTTGGCTCCTTGCTCTTGGTAATTCTTTCTTTTCCAGGCTTCTCAAATCCCTTATTCTACTGGTAAGAGTGCCTGTCTGGGAAGTATGAGGCCCGAGTTCAAATTCCAGTGCTGTCAAAAATTAAAATAAAAACAAAATAACAAGGAGGGGATAAAGGAGAATGGTGGAGGGGATGAATTCAAGTATGATATAGTGTAAGAACTTTGTAAATGCCACAATGTACTCACACGCTGCACAACAATAAAAAAATTAATTAATTAAAAATTTTTAAAACAATACAAAATTAATTAAGTAGTTAATTTAAAAAATTCCAGACTCCAACAAGTCCTGTCCATGATACTCACTCCCTTCCAGTTACTTCCCAGAGGAACGATCTGAGGTTTTGTTGAAACAATGAGCTCCATGAATAAGGTCGAGACTGATAGAGACTTTCAGATCAGCAACAGAAGTGACTTTGGTTTCTATTCCTTCCGTTTCTTTTTTAATAGTAATTTAAAAATTACATTGCATAGACTCCACCTACTTCTTAGCACAGGCCACTGTTGATCACTAGCACACACACCCTCCCCCATCCTACCAGGCACTCCCACTTACTTTGAACTGATTGCCCACATGTGACCTTGAGGAACCGCTGCCTACATTTCCTTTAGGACCTCAGAAAAGGGTCTGTCCAGCCTCTGAACTAAGACGTGTTATGGAAACCGAAGGCCTCTCCCTGACATCTGTAAGGAACCCCAGGGGATACCCAGGCCAGTGTCCACCTGTCCATACCACAACCCTCCTATTCCATTCCTCTGGGGTCTCTATTCTCCTAGGGGTCAGAGGCATACTTCTTATTACCTATGGGGGTGGGGGGGCTGCCTTAGGTTATAGGATAGTGACCCAGCTGGAAAAGGCCAAAGGTAGGGATGGCCTAAGGTCGCAATCACCCTGCATCCTGCCTCATCACCCCCCTCACCCGCTCGCTCAGGACTTAGCCTTGGTGAGAGAGAAGGAACCTGGTTAACCACACCCTCCCTCTGCCCTTTCATTAAAACACCTTTCTAATGTTTCTCCCATATTCTGGGGAGAGGGGAAGATGCTCCATCTCCTTCTCTGTTCAGGTAGCAGCGAAAAGGACAGCCCTGGATCTGTCCCTGCAATGCCGCCAAGGTGGGGTGGAACTTTCCAGATGCCAAGGGATGTTCATTCATGCTTTGCTTTTCTTTTAAACACTAATGAAAGTTTATACTCCAGCAGAACTTCACTGCTTCCTCTCCAGTCCCAATTCCAGTGTGCTAGAAGGAGTTCAGGCATTTGACTTAAGACAACCTGGAATCTCAGGTTCACTTTGGCACATTGATTAGCTGTTTTGTAACCTCACCCACCTATTTCATCACCAGTCAAACACAGAGCAAACAGCAAAACACACTCCCCCTAAGGTTATCTCTGAGAATCAAATTAGGATCATCAAAAGGAGAGGATCAGCCAGGAAGGGTGGCATACATGTAATTCCAGCACTTGGGAGGCTAAGGCAGAAGGTCATGAGCTCAAGGCCAGCCTGGGCTACATGACAAGACACAGTAAAGGAAGGAAGGAGGGAGGAAAGGAAGAAAGAAAGGGACGGAGGGAAGGAGCACACCTGTAATCTAGCTACTCAGGTGGCAGAGATCAGGAGGCTCTAGTTTGAAGCCAGGCCGGGCAAACAGTTCAAGACTCTATCACAAGAAAGGGCTAGTGGAGTGGCTCAAGGTGTAGGCCTTGAGTTCAAACCCCAGTACCGCAAAAAAAAAAAAAAAGAAAAAAGAGGAGAGGACATGCTACCTTATAGGTGTACAAGAGTGATGTACCAAGTTTGGAAGGAAACTGCGTCCACTAAGACAGTATCTTGTAGCCTGTGGACACTGGAATACTATACAGCCTCTGAAAGCTCAAGGTTTCTCTGTATGTACAGAGTGTCTCAAGATAAATGAAATGTATACTTTTTGACTGAACAGACTGTGCATACGAGATGCCACCACTTGTGCAAAAAAATAAAAGGGAGGGGATAAAAAAAAGAGACAATGGTAGCCATATATGCTCTTTTGGTTTGGTTTGGTTGGTTTTTGTTGTTGCTCTTGCTGTTGGTTTCTGTGGTGCTAGGGGTGGAACCCAGGGCCTGGCAGATGCTAGGCAAGTGCTCAGTGGTAGAGTAATTGCCTATATATGCACCCAGCCCTATATATGCTCTTTATATATGCAAATTTTTCTGGAAAAAATAAAAACTGGGTAGGAAAGTTGTCTCTGAGAAGAACTGCTTATACTTATTTATTTATTGCTTATTGTTGGTATTGTGACCTCAAGCACACTAAGCACCCACTGTACCCCTGAGCTACACCCCCACCCCTGCTTATGATACCCCCTGATGCTTATGTTGCCTATTCAAACAGATGGAGGGAGATATAAGGGACTCAGAGAGAGAGCTCTGGAGTGGGGCAGGAAGCCTCTCCAAGGAAGTTTCTGGGGGAGTCAGCACCTTCTTTGTATCCTCAATCTGTGTCTCCAGCAGAAATCCTATAAAGACCTTCAAAGACAAAATATTCCATATGCCACAGAACCATCCCGCTGGACTATGACCAAGACCTTGATGCAGTCTTCATGCAGATTAAGCTCTATTTTGTAAAATTTCAAACATATTCAAAAGCAGAGAGAATAGGATAAGGAACGTCCGAGTACTCATCTCCTGGCTTCAACAGTCGTCAAAGCACGAAGTGGCTTCTGTTTAAATAAATCCAAGCCATCACGCTACATTTCACCTGTACATATGCACAACCATGTGTTTCTATAAGAACTCCTATTTGAAAACACATCTGTAATACAGCCATCATTTTTTTTGTTATTGTTTCATTTGGTGGTACTGGAGTTTGAACTCAGGGCCTCATACTTGCTAGGAGGGTGCTCTACCACTTGAGCCACACCCCCAGCCCACAACCATCACATTTTTTTTGCGGTACTGGGATTTGAACTCAGGGCCTATGCCTTGAGCCACTCCACCAGCCCTTTTTTGTGAAGGATTTTTCAAGATAGGGTCTCGAGGAACCATTTGCCTGGGCTAGCTTCGAACCGTGATCCTCCTTATCTCTGCTTCTGAGTAGCTAAGATTATAGGTGTGAACCACCAGCTCCCGGCCCAACCATCACATTTTGAAATAAAATGTAACAAATCTATTTTTTTTTTTTTTTTGCAGTACTGGGGTTGAACTCAGAGTCTGCAACTTGATCCACTCTCCATCAGCCTTTTTTTGTGATAAGTTTTTTCGAAATAGGGTCTCACTGAACTATTTGCCCAGCCTAGCTTTGAACCACGATCCTCCTGATCTCAGCCTCCCAAGAAACCAGGATTAGAGGCATGAGCCACCAGCACCCAGTTCCTTTATTTATTTATTTTTTCAATTGATACAGGGTCTCATGACCACTCTGCCTCAGCCTCTTAAGAGCTGGAAATTTCAAGCATGTGCCATCACATCCAAATTTTTCACTTTTAAGGTAAAACAAAAGATCTGGCATCATCTACAAATAATTGCTATGAATAAGTGGAATTGTAATAGATCGAACCACATTAGAATCATATTGACAAATGCAACATGTGATCCTAACAAACCATTTGTAAAAAGACATTTCTGAGACGATCAGGAAAATTTGAACTTAAACTACATTACAGATATTATAGATTGTGGTTAATTTTTTTTAGAATTGATCAAGGTATTGGGTGATATGATTTCAAACTGTTTGGGGAGGGGCTTTTTGTTTGTTTTGTTTTGTTTTGGCAGTACTAGTGTTTTAAACTCAGGGCCTTGTGCTTGCTAGGCAAGCCCTCTACCACATGAGCCACTCCACCAGCTCAACTTCTTTTGATTTTAAGTCAATAACATCAGTACTTGCAGATGAACTGATATGATATCTGGAATTTGTTTTATAATAATACTCTAGTGGGAGTGGAGGGGTCAGGTGACACAAGGCTGGAGAACTATTCAAAATTATTGAAAATGGCTACAGGGTGTTCTGAATACTATCCTCTCCTTTTTTTTTTTTTTTGAGACAGGGCCTCATTATGTTGGCCTCGAACTTCTGTGCTCAAAGGATCCTCCTGTCTCAGCCTCTGAATCGCTGGATCTATAGGTGTACACCACTGCATCTGGCTATTCCCACTATTTTTGTGTATGTTTGAAAGCTTCATTAGTAAAAATTTTTTTTTGACTGTCCTGGGGTTAGAATTCAAAGTTTCATGCTTGCTAGGAAGGTGCTCTGCCACTTGAGCCATGACCCCAGCCTGTAAAACACTTTTAAAAATAAGATATTTTAACCTCTTCTGACTGTTAAGTAACTAAGATTAAACAAACAAGTAAAAAGACTAGAAAAGATATCAAGACTGGCACATAATAGACCCTATCAAAAGTAATAAATAAAGAATAAATCTCAGGAAATGTAAGTACTGAGTCATCTTGCAAGTTACATCTCCCACTAAAGTTGATAAATGAGCCAATTACACATTAGTCTTTCATGAGTTTTATTAGCATGAGTCAGTTCCTCAGAGCCTAATCATATCTGCATTTTAAAAAGCTCATTTCTGAGTTCAAAGGACCTAATCTTTTAGAAAATGACCATATTAGCCAGGCAATGGAGGCTCACATCTGTAATCCTAGCTACTTGGAAGGTTGAGATCAGGAGAATCCCAGTTCAAAGCAAATAGTTTGTGAGACCCCCCATCTCCAAAATAACCAGAGCAAAATGAACTGGAGGTGTGGCTCAAGCAGTAGAGTGCCTGGTCTGCAAATGTGAAGCCCTGATTTCAAACGCCAGTCACACACACAAAAAAAGACCACATAAAGGGAAAGCCACCATCAGGGCCATCTGTTATCCTTCCCCATATAACATGCTGCTATGTTTCTATAATCTACTACAAAACCTACCTCACTGGTTGCTGTTCTAAATGTACTAAATTAGCACCGATAGCAGTAATTCCTTTTGGGTTTTGTTTGTTTTGTTTCATTTTTTGGTAGGACTGGGATTTGAACTCAGGGCTTCATACTTGCAAAGCATGCTTGAGCCACACACCTCCTTTTTTTTTTTGAAGATAAAAGCAGTAATTCAGTTAAGTGTGAGGCCCACAGGGGCAGCCTCTTCAGAGGCACTGCCTCAGCTATCTCTGACTTCAGCTGAAGCTGAGGTGGACAGTTTCCTGGAAGCTTAAACTCAACTTGTTCTAAGCTAAAAAAAAAAAAAAGAACTTGTGCTAAACTATCCAACCCAGGTTAGGTGTTCTTTGGACTGTCAGCACCCAGTCGGTGAGCACGAAGGAACAAGGCAGGTGGGCTAACACACTGGTCAGCCTGCAATCAGTTACAGAAAGGAACTAGGTGGGTACACACCCCTCCTTCTGTTCTAGAGGTAGACA